CAGGGGCTGCGGGCTCGGGAGTGAGGGGCAGGGCTGGGGGCTGCGGGTCAGGAGTGAGGGGCGCCGGCGGGGCCAGGGGCTGCGGGCTCGGGAGTGAGGGGCAGGGCTGGGGGCTGCGGGTCAGGAGTGAGGGGCGCCGGCGGGGCCAGGGGCTGCGGGCTGGGAGTGAGGGGCAGGGCTGGGGGCTGCGGGTCGGGAGTGAGGGGCGCCGGCGGGGCCAGGGGCTGCGGGCTGGGAGTGAGGGGTGCCAGCGGGGGGGACTCACGACGGGAGGAGGCTGCAGTTGTAGAAGACGAAGTCAGCGCCAGCAAAGTCCATCATGGTCTCAAGCGAGCGAAGCTGAAGCCGCACGGAGCGAGCGTCACCTGTGGGGGCCAGGGGGACAGCGTCATGGGGGGCAGGGCTGAACCCCCCCAGTAGGGAGACACACCCCCCCCCGGTCTATGACCCCTACCCCCAAATGTGTTCCTGACCTTTGCCCTCTGCCCTCCCCTGTCACCCTGGCCCTGACCTTTGCCCTTTGCACTCTCCTGCCCACCCCCCCACACTCACCATGGGGGCCAGTACCGGGGGGCAGCTCCCTGGGGGTGGGTGACTGGCAGCGGATGAGGCCCCCGGGTAGCACCTCGGCCTTGCTCTGCCCCAGGCCCTCGAAGGAGCAGGTCACGCCGGGCCCCAGGTCCGGGAGGTTCTGCACCGTCAGCTGCAGCTAGAGCCCCAGAGGGACAGGGTTAGAGCCGGGGGGCCGGGGTCCCCCCAGGGGCCTAGAGACAGGGGGCAGGATCCCCCCAGAGATGGGGGTTGGAGATGGGAGTGGGTTCCCCCCAGAGATGGGGGGTTGGAGATGTGGGGCGTAGTCCCCCCAGAGTTGGGGGGTTGGAGATGTGGGGTGTAGTCCCCCCAGAGAAGGGGGTTAGGGATGTGGGGTGGGTTCCCCCCAGAGTTGGGGGGTTGGAGATGGGGGGTGTAGTCCCCCCAGAGAAGGGGTTAGAGATGTGGGATGGGTTCCCCCCAGAGTTGGGGGGTTGGAGATGGGGGGCATGGTCCCCCCAGATATGGTGGTTAGTGATGGGTGTCGGGGTACCATCCCCTCCCTCCCCAGAGACACGGGGGGGCTGTTCACCTCTATCCCCCCATCTCCCAAGCAGGCCCGAGGTGCCCGGCCCCGCACTCACCAGGACGCTGGTCGAGGTGACTGAGATGTTATTGGGCTCCACGAGCAACCGGGGGCAGGGGCCCGGCACGGCCGCGAACCGCTGCAACTCCAGCGCCCGGGGACACTCGCTCTCCCGGCAGCACCTGGGGGGGTGGGTGGGGGGGTCAGGCACAGACTGGGAACCCCCAGGTCTGCTCCCCACTCGCTGTGCCGGGCAGGCAATGTCACAGGGGAGCTCACAGCGCTGGGGGAGGGGCAGCCCAGGGAGCTCATTACCCAGCCAGTGGCTTCCACCCCAGAGGCCTCGTTAGTGCAGGATCCTGGGGAGTTCCGGTGCCAGGAGCCCCTCACCCGCCGGGGGGGCTGCGGGTCGGGAGTGAGGGGCACAGACAGGGGGCAGGGCTGGGCTAGCAGGGATCTGTGGGTTCAGGAGTGAGGTGCACAGACGGGGGGGCAGGGCTGGGCTAGCAGGGATCTGTGGGTTCAGGAGTGAGGTGC